GACAAATCTGTTCACCCCTTTCACTTGCACTCCAGTCAATTCATAGGACATTTTCATTACTTCAGAAATTCCCACACCCCAGAAGCAGTCTCTTCTGATTTCTATCACCATATTTTAATGTTGTCTATATTTAAAGTCCATATAAATAGACTCATTAATACAATATGTACTCTTTCTGTGTCTGACTTGTTTCACTGAACATATATTTTTTTAGATTCACCCATGTTGTTGTATTTATCAGTAATTCCTTTTTGTTGCCGAGTAGTATTCCATTATATGGTATACCCGAGTTCATTTATCTTTTGTCCTATTGATGATTTTGTTTTCCTTTTTTCTGGCTACTATGAATAAAGACAATATAAACATTCTTATACAAATTTTTCCTGTGAACATGTTTTTATTTCTTTTCTTATTGATCTATTCAGTATCTTTATGTTAATGCCACACTTGTCGTTATATATATTATTCATATCCTAAGGTTGAATTTGTAAATTTATGTATGTATGTCTTTTATCCCAAATTAAGCTGCTATCATGTGGCAGTCATACTTTAGTTATGGCCACATAATGCAATTAATTGGTTTATTTATTATGCATTGCCACAGCACAAAAATTATGGCAGGAGTAAATTTAGAAAGAGAACTTTGTATGGATGCATAGAGGAAAGGAAAGATTTCCTTGTAAAGGGAGTCTTAATTCAGAAGGGCAGAGATAAGTTTTTGAGCACAGGATTTGGAATTTCTCAAATTTTTATTTGAACCCCAGGTTTATCACTTACTAGCTATGTTACCTTAGCCAGGTAATTAATTTCTTTGAGCCCATTTCCTCACTTATTAAATAAAGGTATATCAACTTCATAGAGTTTTTATATGGTATAAATCAAAGAATGGAAATAAAGTGCTTAGCATAGAGCCTGATAGGTAAGATGTTGTTAAGAAATGATAACTACTGTAGGAATTAGGGATGGTAGGGAGAGAAGGAAAAGCAACTAGCCAGTTTTGCAGGCCCAGCTGCACCTTCAGGAATCCATATGACTTAGGGCTGGCTGCATTTCTTCATACTTCATAGCCCTCAGGTAAAACAACTCTAATAGATAGATAGACAGGCGGGTATTTTCCCTCATCTTTTCCTTAGTGTTAGAGAGGAAGAAGAGGCAATTGGACAACATCTGAAAGTAGACACACAAGATGCATCCTTCTCATAGATGCCTTGTGCCTTCCTCTCCCTACCTCCCTCATTAATTTGTTCCTCTGAAGACCCATCAGCTTAGGGAAACAAGTTTAGTAAGTCAGAAATTCAACTGGTCAGATCTTGATAATGAGTAAAATATATCGTCAATTCATTGGATGTTTAAAACCAAAGAACCTTAAATCATATTTCCCTTTAGAAAAGAATCTTAGGTATAATTTCAAAATGTAAAATAATTTCTCCCTTCTCTCTGTGCCCTCAAACGAAACATCTTCTCCATCTCCTTACTGTTGCTTCATATTGCCCCAGTAGCTTACAAAGCCTTTCCTAGCATAATTAGAAATGAAAGGGCTTAAATACAAATATGATGGCAGAAATATTTAATTAGATTCGGCCAGTATTTATCAAGTACTTGCTTCTGTAACATAGCAAGATAAATGTTTTGGGGGATAACAAAAATCATCAAGATATAGTTCCTACTCTAAAGACATCACACATTGGGGAGAACACAATTCACTTATACAATTATTTTAGGGAAAAATATGGTGACTGCTATAATGACAATTACAACAGCTTATATGTATATACACTTTCCAGGTTTAAAACTGCTATCAAATAGTTTGTTTTTTTCTTGTTTGTTCTTCAAAATAACCTTATATGTAAAACAGGTATTAAGTAGATTTTGAAAATGAGTCATCCAAGGCTCAAAGGTGAAATGCCCAAAGTCGCAGTGCCAGCAAGTCAGTCAATTCAAATGGCATATACTCGGATGCCTGGCACATGGCATGGTGAAAGTACTAGCTGATTCTGTCATTTATCCCATGTGTTGGGTGCTATTCATGGGACTGGGGCTGTTGTGGTGAATAAGACAAACAGGTCCCTGTCTTCAAGAAAGATAAATGGTGGACCTATGATATAAACCTAAATTTCTCACTCTACATTCTGTTGTTTCTTTTATTTCATGCAGTACCAAAATATAGTGCACTGGCAATCTCCCTGACGAGGGAGATTGATTCTCACAGGGGTGGTTATGGAAGGCCTAATGGAGGGGGTTTATTTTCCCCACCATCCCATGCCTGATTGATGTTTTTCAAATATGCCATGTTTTTCATACGCCCTTTTGGAATTTTTCAGGTACGCAGATTTTCTGAGGCATTCTTTTGTTTTGAACATCCGAGAGATGCTGCCATTGCATACCAGGAACTTCAGTGAGTAGCATAAATCCAAAATTAAAATGATTTTATTTCCTTTTACATAAGATACCTATCTCAGAATTTATCAGTGACAGAATATACAATATTTAAAATGAAGAAAATAGGAGATTTTGCCATTCAGAAATTCCATTTAATCCAATTGGGTTTAATCTTATAAATTACTTCATGAAAGACCCATACCTTATGTAAAGAAGCATATTGCACTGTTAACCCCTCCCTCCGAATTAGATGTGCTATAACCTTGGAAGTCTCTTACAGCTCTGTCCCACCTTCTATTTGGCTATTTAGTAGTATCTTTATTTTCACACATCAGAATCTCTAACATTCATTATTATGTATTACAGATTTTCATAAGTAGTCTGACTGGCTTTGCCTTCTGTTATACAAATGATTTACAGTTAAAATACCCAGAATAGAAGCCTTCCATTTTTTCCTACTGAGTATATTTAGATCAGTTTTCTTTGACTTTAAAGAATAATTTGTGAGCTGGCCGAGTGGCTCAGTTGGCTAAAAGCTTGCTCAAGAGTTTGAGCTCTGAGCAACAGCGGTTCAATTCCCGGCCCGAGCTGAGCAGCCACTGAGCTGCCAACAGGTGGCAGGATGGCTCAGCTTAAAATAAATTTAAAAAATAATAATAATTTGAGAGCATTGTGCTGAGCAAAAGAAGTCAGACATAAAAGAATATATAACATGATTCTACTGGAACAGGCAGAACTAAGGTGAACAAATGCGGAATAGTGGTTGTCTTGTTGACTTGGGCTGGGAGTTCGACTGGAAAGACATGAGCGTACTCTCTTGAGTAGATGGAAATATTCTGTATTACGTATCCATTTGTCAAAATTGTACAGCTAAGATTTGTATATTTCAATACTTGTGAATTTACATAAAAAACAAACTATAAATAATAGAGTGTGGGGGTAGGTAGTGAGTGAAGGTATAGATAAAACAAGAAGGGCAAAATGTTAATGGTTGAAGCTGAGTGATGGGATTTATTATACTATTCTGTTTACTTTTATTTGTTTGAAATTTTCCATGAGAAAATGTTTTTTAAAAAACTCTTATACTAAAAAGTTATGCACTTTGTTTTTAATAGCTGTTAATTTAAATAGCTGTTAACACATTTTGATATGTGTTAAGTATGATACGTGTTAAGTATAGCAGTAGCCATGGAACACATTTTTTTCCCCAACACTATCATCAAATGATTAGTAGGCACTTGAGCTTTTGCTATTTCTCCTATATGCTATTCTCAGCAAATTAGGAAATTCAGACATTAAACATAGAAAACTCACTTTGAAGTAACTTTTAAAAGTATAGCAGAATATAATTGAAATTAAATAATTTATTCACAAACCATAATTTTATAAGCCACTAATTTATTGTCAGCAAACCATAATTTTCACCTTACCAGTTTTTATCTCTGACCAAAGAGCTCTTTCATAAGGAGGTTACATCTTGAGGAAGGGGCATAGGAATGATGAGGGGAATGGGAATGGGTAGAGTCTATAAGGTGGAATTGGGTGTAATTTTTAAAAATTACAGTCTGACTTAAGAAATATTTTTCAGTGCTCAGAGTCATCTACAGATGTGCACCGCTATCAAAAATACTTCCTTCTGCAGTTCTCTTCCACCCCTACCTATTGAATGTAGTGAATTAGATGGAGATCTCAATTCATTACCTATAATCTTTGAAGATAGGTATTTAGATTCAGTTATTGAAGGTAAGTATAATCTAACTAAAATATGTAAGCTGTGTGTGTAATTTTCAGTATATTCTTCCTAATATATATAAAACCATTCCCTAATGTGGGGACATTTTTCCCCTCCAGTTTATTTATTTTTGAGGATATTAGAAAGTTATAGTCAGAAAAAAAGTAGACTTAATCATATGAGTTCTCACGCCTTGTTTTAAACCTGAATCTTTTTTTCTTTGGATAAAAGACTTAGATGCACCCTGGATGGGAATTCAGAATCTTCAGAGATCAGAGTCCAGTAAAATGGATAAATGTGAGACTGAAGAAAGCTCTATAGCTGGACTTTCTAGCCCAGAGGTGAAAGCCAGACCTGCTGGTGCCTCCAATTTTTGGTATACGGAAGGTGAAAAGCAGCTCACCAAATCTCTAAAAGGAAAGAATGAAGAATCAAATAAATCCAAGGTTAAGGTCACTAAGCTCATGAAAACAATGAAACCTGAAAATACAAAAAAATTAATAAAACAGAACTCTAAAGATTCTGTGGTTTTGGTAGGCTACAAATGTTTGAAAAGTACAGCATCAAATGATCTCTTTAAAAGCTTTGAAGGCAATCCTTCACATAGTCAGAAAGAAGGTCTGGATCCCACAGTGTGTGGATATAATTGTGACCCAAAGACCTACGTCAGACAGACAAGTCAAAAGGAAGCTAGCTATTTGCCAGCTAATACAGAGAGAACTGAACAAAAGTCTCCAGATATTGAAAATATGCAACCAAACCTGTTTGATCCTTTGAACTCTGGCAGCCTAAATCTTTGTGCAAATTTGTCCATTTCAGGTAAACTTGGTATCTCCCAGGACGATAGTGAAATTACACAAGTGGAACACATTGTGGCCACCAGAAGTTCATCAGACGATTGCCATGATCATCAAACAATCCCATCTTCAGGCGTTAGAACAATTCAAGTAAAGCCCTGTAATAAAGATCCTTTCCGTGGAGAGAAAATAACTGTTAAAATAGGACCTTGGACAGAGCTTCAACAAGATGAAATACTTGTGGATAGTTTACAGCTACCCAACTTTGAGTCCTTAGAATCTAATGGTAAATCTAAATCTATAGAACTAACACTTGAAAAGGAAGCTTTGCAGGATGCAAAGTATCATTCTGTTGGAGAATCATTAGCTAAGTTAAGAAGTAATCAACCTACTTCTTCTACAAAAGAATACCATGTTGTAGTAAGTGGAGATACAATTAAGTTGCCAGATATTAATACCACATATGCCTCATCTAGATTTTCAGATTCAGGTGTTGAAAGTGAACCAAGTTCTTTTGCAACACATCCAAACCCTGATGTAGTGTATGAAACTGTGCAAGGGCCAAGTCCTTACAATAATGACAGATTATTTCCTCAGCTTTTGATGAAACCTGATTGTAATATAAAATTTTCGTTAGGAAGTCATTGTACTGAGAGTACAAGTGCTTTAAGTGAAATACAGTCATCTCTAACATCCATAAACTCGCTGCCTTCTGATGATGAACTGTCACCTGATGAAAATTCTAAGAAATCTCTTATACCTGAATGCCACCCAAGCAATAGCAAAACTAGATTATCAACTCTAGGAACAATTGATTTGCCAAAATGTGATGATGCTAAAAAATCAAGTATTGTTTTGCAACAGCAGAGTGTCATATTTTCAGGGCATTTGGACAATGAAGCTATAGCAATACATTCCTTAAATTCAAGCACTAAAGATCCTTTGCAATTTGTTTTTTCAGATGAAGATACTTCCGGTGATGTGAAAAGTAGTTGCAGCTCCAAATCTAACTTGGACACTATGTGTAAAGACTCCCAGAGTCCTGATAAATCTAATAACTTCGCAGGGACAGCAATTACATTAAATTCTCAACTTGTTTGTTTAGGCACCCCTTGTGTTTCGAGTTCCGTTTCTACTCATACAGAAGTTAGTGAAGATAGAACTGTGAAAAGAAAAAATAGTGATGCATTAGATCTCAAGCAAATAAATCCAGAAGTCCCTACAGTTAAAAATGAAACTCATCCAGGTATAAGTGATCCTTTTTCAGCCAGTCCTGATATGGTAAAACAAGGGCTTGTGGAAAATTATTTTGGCTCTCAAAGCAGTACGGATATTTCTGACACATATGCTATTAGCTACAGCAATTCAGTTAGCCCTCAGAAGGAAACTTCTGAAAAAGGAATTAGTAATCTTCAGCAGGAACAGGATAAAGAGGACGAGGAGGAAGAGCAGGATCAACAAATGGTTCAAAATGGGTATTATGAAGAAACAGATTATTCAGCTTTGGATGGAACAGTAAATGCTCACTGTACAAACAGAGATGCACTAGAAGAAGAAAGACTTCTAAAATCAGAAAACATAAACACTGACTTTCTGAGGGATGGTATAAATATGCCTACTGTCTGTACTTCTGGTTGTTTGTCCTTCCCAACTGCACCACGAGAGTCTCCTTGTAGTGTTAAGTATTCTACTAAAAGTAAATTTGATGCCATTACAAAGCAGCCAAGCAGCACTTCTTACAACTTCACTTCAGCAGTTTCCTGGTATGAAAATGCACCAAAACCTCAAATACAAGCGTAAGTAATGGAGCGCAATAGCATGCGCTACTAAATACATGTAAAGAAATTTATTTACTTATTCATTTGTTTCTCTGGTAACATATATTTCATGTACTCTGGTTTGTGATTCTTTGAGTAACTATCTAAAATGGAGAAAAGAACTCATTACACAATTTGACAGATCTGTAGTATCCTGTATGATTGTCCTGTTCTATAAACTAGACATTCCTGATACAAATTTTCCATTGGTAGTTTTATGTTAGAAATATGGAATAATTGAGGTTAAAACCCTTTTTTCGTTAGTACCTTATTTCTCCCCCATTAACTCCCAGACAAAAGTTAAGTTTTATAAGTCCATCTAGCAAATAAGGACAATATTAAATAATGAATAAGAGGTTAGTAGAAACTTTCTAAACCTACCTGACTCAGATTGCCTCAGCTAAATCAGTGGTTTCCAGAATTGAGATTTCATGGACCTGTAAAAAATCCAGAAAAATTTGAAGATGACATAGTTTTACTAGCCTGATACTGGTTCTCAAAATATTCTACTACCTCACCCCAGATGGAGTTATAATCCCTGGAGTGAAAGGTCTGGTCATATCTACAGTAGATTTTTAAAGTTCCCAAATTATTCTGATTCATACACTTAATTAAGATCCATAGTGCCTAAAGCTAGTGAAACCAGTGAGGTGATAACAACCTATTAAAGAATTACCACCTTCTGGGTACCTCAGCTGTTCCTGAGTCATTAATCAAAACAATGGTCTATGTGTTTCACCCAGTGTATCCTACTTAGTTTAGTGTAGCTTCTTTTAATTTCACTTTTATCCATCCAAATGATATAATATTATAATAGTTAACATTTTTTATCTTTGCAATTGCTGAGTTGATTAATCCCTCATTCCAAATGAGTGTCTGCTGCCAATTATATTTAGTCACATCCCCTTCTTGGTTCTTCTTGTTGCTATTTTTAGAATACCAATTCAAAAAAATACAAATAACAATCTACTAAATACTGTAACTACCATTCTCACTGTTACGCTTTATAGAACAGCTCCCTCCCTTCTGTTTGTGTAAGATTAAAAAGTTGCAGAGAGGACAAGATATGATTACAGGATAAGCATCAGATAGTCATCTTTCCAGCACTTCTCCCAGCTTTTCTATGCATACAATGTAAAACTTTGTATAAAGCGTAACTCCACTCTAAATATTTTATTAGTGGATTTCAGATTTAAAAGAATATGTTTAAAGTGATTTCAGGTTTTAAATGTTCACCCTATTTAATCAGACTATGTATTAAAAATAGTAAAGAAAATTACTCTCATATTTCTAAATCGTTTAGGTGATCCCACATATTTTGATTACTTTAAAATCAAATATTTCTGGGTTTCCTTTTCTCTGAAAGTCCATAAATTCAGCAGATTGTCTTTTTGGTTCTAAAAACTGAATGTATTACTTTGTAAAGAGTATCTTTTATAATATTCAGTTTCCTTCCTTCAGCTTTCTTCAGGCAAAAGAAGAATTGAAGCAACTAAAACTCCCTGGGTTCATGTACAGTGATGTTCCTCTGCTGGCGTCCTCAGTACCTTATTTCAGCATGGAAGAAGAGGACGGCTCTGAAGATGGTGTTCATCTCATTGTCTGTGTGCATGGTTTAGATGGTATGAAACATCTGATGTAACCCAAAGCAACTCAATTGTTTTCTTTTCCTTAATAGATCTCATTTAGTTTTATTTAACCTTTAAACTGAAAAGAAGATTTTTAAATTGCTTAAACTAATTGAATCTTAAATACATTCTAAAACAGGAATATGCTTAATTTTGCTAAGCATAATGTTAGATTTTCTTTTAAGTAAATTTTCCATAGAATTGACATCCATGTGCCAACATGTTATTTATTTTAACTTTGGATTTTTCTGTCTTCTCTCTCACTGTGTTTTTGTTCAGCTGTCACCTCATGGCAATCATTTTGTCTCCCTTTGATAGTCTTCCTACTTCCCTTTTAGCTTGAGGCTTTAAACCTTATGGATTCGAAAAATCGATACCTAAAAATTAAGGATTCACTGATTAATTAGGGTATAACTTAAATTCTAAATACCTGGCTTTAGTGCTATGGTTTTTGCTATAGATGACAGCTATTTGGGTTACTTAACAGACTTATTTTCTTGATAGGAATTATATTAGAAAATGCCAAATATGTTTAGATTAGTGGGGTATTACTGTATTAAGATGTTATTCTGTAAGAACAAATTGAAAAAGATTTATGGATTATAAAAATACTAAACACAGGTCTGAGCTAATAAATGCTCATGAAATTGGAGATTTTTCTTTAAAAAAAAAAAACAACAAACCTGACTCAAGAAATAAAATACCTTCAGTACTAACCTCTTCCACCCCAATAATAAAATTTTCAAAGAATTATCCCCCAAGAAGGATTTCTTGGCCCAGTAAAACCTCTGGCACATTCATCTTTGCAATTTTCAAGAAACACATTATCCCTACGTTATATAAATTGTTGCAGAATAATAGGAAAAAAAGACTGAGTGCAGCCCATTTTGTTCCTTGAAGTTAACCTAACCTTGTTTCCAAGTAGGAAAAATATACCACACCCATACCCAAAAAAACAGTAAGTCAGTTTAACATAAATAGACTTAAAACTGTCGCAATATTGCAGAAATTAATTAATTAATTTTTAAAATGTCCAAAGAATGCTTTAGCAAATAGTATTTAATTCCCAGAATGCAAACATAAGTAAATATAAAGAAATTTATTAATAAAATGTAGTACATCAGCAAATCAAGAAATAAACTATTTTAAAAAATTCAGTATTCATTCCCAATTATAACAATTAAGCACCAAACTTTAAGCCTTAGTTAGCACTAGTCCTAATTCATTAATATGATTAAGCATATACAGTCCCAGCCAATGGAAAACATATGCTTAAAAGTGAAATACTAGAGGTGTTCCTTTTAAAATCAGAAATAAAAGTTATATCAGTGCATGAAATATCTAAAAGATATAAATATTGAAAGGGTAAAATAAAAATTTAACAATTGATAATGACGTGTTTATATTCCTAATTATACCAAAGAGGTTATAAATAGTTTATATTTCTAGATATCTTCTAAGGTAGTAAACTATCCTAGTTTATTTAAATGGGATTTTTATTTCCATACACATATACCAGTACCACAAAAGGAATGTCATCAGATTAAATCTAAATCTAAAATGCATTCAAGGTTTGTTAAATTATCATCTAGAGTAGTGATGGTAAGGAGTACTTTAGTCAGTCATTCACAACTACTCTTGTAAGCACTTACCTAAGTGAGCGCTACCAGTTAAACAAATACACCTTTAGGTGGGAAAGTAAGCAGCAGTGTGACCAAAACCTCCTAAGAAGCAAAATTGTTGAACAACATTGTCTGACTAATGGAAATAGCTTTGCAATAAAAATTGAGGACTCTTATTTCAGGCTGGATTGTCTATTCAAAATTGGTATAGACCATATACTTGTCTTTAAGAACTACAAAAATATATGATGATGCACTTTATACCTTTTACTTTATCTCATCCTTTAGACATAATTTTTCATTTTCTTCATTTTCTAGGTAACAGTGCAGATCTGCGATTAGTAAAAACTTATATTGAGCTTGGACTACCCGGGGGAAGAATTGATTTTCTTATGTCTGAGAGAAATCAGGTACAATATCGCAGTATTTTCAGTGGAAGCAAACATTTTTGTACTAGTTACTACCTATGATTTGCTTACTACAAAATGCCTGTAGTAGAAGAAATAATTTTTCTGATTTCTATAAAATGTACCATTCATACATATCCCAAGGAATTAGAAATCATTTACAGTTCAATTTATAAGCTCTTCGCATGAGCAAAATTTCTAGAATTTCACATCTATGAAAATATTTCATTCATTAAACCATTATAAATAACCTTATGTTAAATGTTGGTAGTGGGCTAACAAACAACAAAGTGAAGTGAAGTAAGTGTTATTAAGAACAATGAACCTTTTTTCTCCTAGAAACTCACTCTTTTTGCTCATTTTAATACAATGACTATTACATTCACTAACTTCTCTTAAAAAAAAACAAAACACTGGTCTTAACCATAGTTTCAATGCCTAAGTTAAAAATAATGTTTATATTCGTTTTTCATGTGATTGTACAAATTCAGTACATAATGTGTCTGTTTTGCTTTTGTTTAGAATGATACTTTTGCTGATTTTGATAGCATGACTGATCGCCTTCTAGATGAGATAATACAATATATTCAGATATATAGTCTAACAGTCTCAAAAATAAGGTAACTTCTATAATATTACACAACTATTTTTATATATCTATGAATTACAGAAAAACTAAATAGAATTTGTGATAGTTTTGTTGTCTTGTTCTGAAATATATGAGACCACAACTCAAATTAACTTACAGAGAAAAAAATTAAAAGATTTTGGGAAAGACCACATATTACATGATTCAATTTATATAAATTGTACAGAATTAGCAAAGGTATAGACATAAGTCTATTAGTGATTGCTTAGAGCTGGGGAAAGTGGGAGATGGGAGGGGGCTGATAGCTAAAGTGTACAGGACTTCTTTTTGAGGTAGTGAAATGTTATAAAATTTTTTGTAGTAGTGGTTGCACAACTCTGAATGCACTAAAAACCATTGAATTGTACGCTTTAAATGGATGAATTATGTCATATATGAATTATATATCAAAAAGCTGTTAACAAAAAGAAAGGTTATAAGGAAATGGATATACTCATATATTAAAAAAGAAACAATAAAAATATTTTCACAGACTATACTTTGTGAGTCAGTTTTCCACAAGCAAGAGATGATGATCAAAATAAACTCATTATTTAGTCAGACACTGTGGATAGACATGAGAGAGAAAAGTATTTGTTTCTTCTAATCCATTATGAATTAAATAAAAAGTCAAAACTAATTAATATTCCTGCCTAAAAAGAATAGAATAAGCTGACTACTTGCATATCCCATCTAGTTTAGAAGAAGCTGACTCTATTCTATATATAGACTTTTTTAGCGTTTGTTTCCATTCTAAAGTATAGAGTAGGGACTAAGAAAAGAGATAAGCAGATTTGTATTTGAAATCACTTTTTAAAAACATATTTCTGTTAAAATATGGGGGGAAATACAAGTTTATTGAGGGGAGGAGAGATTATTTTCTTGTTCTAATTAATCTCTTCATTTATAGAATTTAAAATGCTGTTTCTTTACTGAATTTTCTATAGTGATCTTGTATTCCTTTTATTCATTTATGATGAGAAAGTAATACATTATTTCAGTTTTTTCATTCATCCACAAAAAGTATGCCCTCTTACAGTTGAGACTGTCAGTTAAAACAAACCATTATCCAAAAGCCAGGTCTGGTTGATTGAGGACTGTTAATTACCATCATAACTCTCACCCCACAGCTTTAAGAGCTTCAGTTTGGGA